TTAACCTCCCTCACCAGAAGAGGCAACTCTCCCAGCATTTCCCTTGCGAGTCCCACAGCCAGAAGCTGGTCCCAGCCTGGGGCTGGAGACCCCTGGGGCAGGGTGACTCAGATGCCACCCATGCCATCTGGGATGTGCGGGGACTGAGCACACTCACCCACAGAGCTACTTTGACTCCACAGTCTCATCCTGCTATTCCTGCTGCTATTGCCTGTGGCAGATCATTCTAGAAAGCCTGTGATCACTATGTGTGTCCATTTAATGCTTCTAAATGATTATTGTTGCAAAGGCACATTTTTGGAGAATGTGCCCAAAGCAAAAACTACTTCCCTCCCTACCCTCACCACCCCCAGCCTTACCCCCACCATCCAGAGTGGGCACAGCCACCCAGGATCCCCCAAAGGATCCCAAGCAGCAGAGTAGCGTGGAAGTCAGAGGACAACCGCCATATTCTCTGTGGACTGAAAACAATTTTCTTCCTCATCCCAAACATCCTTAGCTAACAGATAGACTTGCCAATTGTCAGAAAATGGGCAGCCCCCGCGGGACGAGAGCGCAGCACTGGCCAAGCTCGGCTCCATTCATCACCGCGAGTCTGGTCTCTCGGGGTGTCGTATGCAAGCTGGCTCCTCGGCTTGCAGCTCTCCAGCTATCTCCCCGAAACAAATTTCCTTAAATTGACTCTGCAAAATCCCATTCCAGAACTTGCCATCTTTTCTAATGAATATAAATTTCCAAAAGAATTTTTTAAATTGGCCACCAGCATTTTACTTTTGCAGCATCCATTTTACAAATTTCACCAGTTTCCAAACTTGTATATGTCACAACTGAAAAGACCAGAGTTTAAAATCAGAAGACTCGAGAGGTGGAGCTCTCCAGGGCTAGAAAGGCATTTAATTGGAGGGATTCACCGACAGTTATGAAAGCATTTTCAGAGTTGCTTTATGATAGTCACTTTCACAGATACTGAATTGAAAACCATTGATTGATCAAACATTGAAACAATTGACATATGACTTTTAACTGTGCAAAAACCCTTGGTGTGATGAAATATGCAAAGAAACCCAATTCTATTCCATTAAATGGGCAAATAATGTGGAGTTCCTGCCTCGCATCAAGGGTTCTGCTAGATTCCGAGACGCAGTGGAGAGCAGAACAGACCCGACCGCTGCAAGGGTGATAGGGAAAGCGGGGCGCCCACTAATTGGTGCTCTGATTTAATAAAGGCTTCGTGCTAAATAGGAGGTGAGTCAGCACTGGCCCCAGGAGGTGGGAATGCCTTCACGTCCCGCAGGTAACGCGCTGCATGAGACGCTGCCTCTCAAGGAAGCCATGTTGTCCCGTCAGGGTCAAGGTGACAGCACTGCTCTGGGAGCCCAGCCCTCAGGACACAGCCACCCCCTATTCCTCTGGCTGTGCCCAGGGTATTTTTTTTTTTAATTATTTATTTATTTATACAAGATTGATTGATTGATTGATTTATACAAACACTGGGTACAGTCAGAAGCACGGGAGGGTGAGAGAATTCACCAGAGCCAGAGCGGGGAGCAGAGCAGGCAGAAGGACCGAGGTACATTGCTGAGGGGAGCAGCGGGCGGCAGGAGAGGTCTGCGCGCCATGTGGGACCCTCCTCCGGTGGCCGGGGAGCAGCCGGGGATCGAACCGGCGCCGCAGAGGCCGCGGGTAGCTTCGCAACCCAGCGCTCAACCGCTGCACCACCAGGGAGGCCCTGTGCCCAGGGTATTGACATGCTCTGTGCCTCAGTCTGGCCACTGGCGCTCACCCCTGGTTTGTTGCCAAGGCTGCAGTGTGTGCGAGCAGAGCAGCGGGCTGAGCACAGAGGTGACAGTGGCAACAGGTGACTGCAGGGCACAGGGGGCTCAGGTCCCCAGGGCCTCTATTTGCATGCAGATGTAGCCCCAAACTCACGCTGTGAGTTTCCACCTTTCTACCCATAAGAAGCCTCAACAGGCCACATCTGCCTGCAAATCCTTCCTCATCCATTCCCTTCCCCACCCCAAGAACCCCTTCCACCTTGAGAACCCCTTCTCATCCAAGACACCCCTAAAGCAGATTTCCAGGAGAGCAGGCGCCCATCCCCACAACCGCTTTCCTGGGAAGCTCCTCCTGATGCGTGAACCTCAGCCCCCTGCGTTTCAGGCCTGCTAAGCAGGGCCCCTTGATACTCGAAGTGCTCAAACTCTAGCAAGCAGAAGACGCGCCTGGAGAGCTTGTTCAGCCCGACAGAGGACCCAACTGCAGGTGCCCTTGCAGCCGGTCAGAGGCAGGGCTGAAGAAGGGGCATTTTTAACAGGCCTCCAGGGAGGCTCTGCTGCCCATCGAGAACTGACCCCGGAACAACTAAAGTTGATTCTCCTGGATGAGGACCACGAGGTCATGTGGCTTCCGCCCGGCACCCTCAGCCTGCAGCGTCCCTCAGCAGGGGTGGAGCTGGTGGCCCCTGCTCTGCCCTCAACACTCCCACTTCTGCCTCCTGCTGCTCCCTCCTGCTCCTCACCAGGGCTCATCTGCCTCAGGGCCTTGCACCTGCTCTTCCTCTGCTCAGTGCGCTCACCACCTCCGCAGACATCTCAGCAGCTGACCGTCCTCCAGAGTTGTCTCCCCGGTACAAATCCCTCAAACTGCCCCTGCAGAGCGCCACCATGGAGCGCAGCGACCACCCCTCCACAGCCTTCGGCGGTTATTCGCTCCTGCCTGGGCCCGAGAGGGCAGCGACTTTCTCTGCTCCCCGTCCCGCCCGCGCGCGAGCCCAGAACGCCCCGGCCCCGTGGGACGGCCAGGCGGACACTGTCCCCGGATCTGGGCCCTCTTTTGAGCGTTGATTTTGAACGGATTTTCGTACTTCATCCACCTTCTTTACCGACTCGGAGATCACAGAGCGCCAGCACCGCTGGGCGAAAACCGAGTTTTCCACAAGCCCCGGCAGGCGGCCGCCCCGGCGCTGGCGAGCAGGAAAGGCCCCGGCCTGGGAAGGGGCGTCGGGACGGCCGGGCCCGTGCAGGCTCCAGGCGGGCCCGTGGCAGCCGCTCTCACGCCCCTGGCTCTTCCCAACTCTCAGCAAGCTCCGGCCGCCCCGGCTCTCATTTCCATCCATTTGTGTTGGAGAAAAAATAAAAGCAAAGGAAATGCACTTAAGAGCAGCCTGGAGGGGCTCGCGGGCCGCGGCAGGGAATGGGCGCCTTTTGGGGTCTTGGCGATGATCAATTATGCATTGAGCCCTGATTGTGTTCCTGGCGCCACCGTGACAGGAGGACGGGGTCCCTGCCCCGGGGGCGCCCAGGGGAGAAGGGGGCTCGTGAGGCTACAAAGACTCCATCTGAGAAGACAGTTACGTGTCAGGGCCGAGGATGAGCTTTGCCTTTATTAGATTCTTATTTGTCATGGCCTGCGCTTATTTCCTGATCTGAAAGGTAGTAGAAAGGTTTTTAATATTCCCAGAAAACAAAAAAGCGCAATCCCATTGCTCTGTTTCTCATGCACGTGTCAAGAGGGCCTTGGTTTACACATTAGATTTTAGTTTGAAGAAGGAGCTTCCGATTCTGCCGGGATGTTCCCCACGTCTCAGCGTGGCCAGGACAAGGCTCTGGAGCCCAAGGGGGCTGCAGAAGCATTAACTATTCACAGCTACAAGAGACTCCCTCCCATCCGGGCTCACTGACTCCTCTACTGCGACGCAGGGGCTTCTCTCTGGCCTTTTCCCTCCGTGGTTGTGTAAGCAGCTGTGCTTGGACATCCGTAGGTCAGAACTTCACTCTTGACAGTTTCGGTTCGGAACGGGGAAGAGCAGAACCCTGAGCCAAAGCTGGAGGCAAATTCTAGATGTTCTCGGGGCTCCGTTTGCAGAGATGAAGATGCCTCGACGACGCGTGGGGCCCAGGAGCCACCCCCTGGCTGCAAGGGGAGAGGCCCTCCCCCAGAACCACCGCCCAACGCCCCCTTCTCAAGCACAGCCCAGGCCAGGGTGGGGGCACCAGCAGGGCCACCTTCCAGCCCCAGGAACCCTGCTAGCCCACCGGGATTCTAAATAATTGGGTGCAAATTAGTTCTTAAAAATAGTGTCTTCTAAGCTGATAGTGCCCACTATCAGCTGGGGCACCCTGGACGCTTCTCTCTCCCACCTCCTTGCAGCGGGCGGAAGGAAGATGGACTGTTGGACATGGAATGAGATGTCACCCCGGCTCTTTGCCCTAAGACACCAGCTCAAGGGGTTTGAAGCTCGTGTTGATTTAATGTAAAAACTCAGACTTTCAGCCCGAGAGCTGGATACAAATGGTCCCTTTCCGTTGTCACCCATGAAGGACTCTTCCTAGGAGTCTTTCCCCACGAGAAAGAGTTCTCGGGCTTGGCTGTGCATCCAAGGGAACAAATGCAGTGTCCCATTTGGAAGGAAAGGCCCACAGGCCTGCTCAGTCCTTACACCCCATCCAGATCCTGGGCGAACGAGTCATTTTCATGACCTGTTTTCTTTATCCAGGACTCCCCAGACGTTCATATGAGCCTGAGTCACGGACCTTTGATTGCAGATAAAAGACAGCCCATCCTCACGTTTAGAAAGAATTTAAAGGAATTGACAGAGAACTCCAGGACCATGTGAGTTTCAGGCATGTGTGGATCCAGGACCCCAGTGGGTTCTCCAGTGACGGCTCAACAGGCAACAACGAGGAAACAATATGTCTGAGCTGAAGGGAAGACTCACCACCATTCTCAAGGCCAGCTCCAAGTTTAACAAATGCCTAGTGAAAAAAGTTTGAAAAGCAAAAAATTAACTGACATAATGATATCCCGACAGTCTCGGCATTAGCAGACTGGATGGGCCCTTGAGTCTCTGATTAGAGAAAAATAAAACACACACCCAAAAATAGGGCAAGTGTCTGAAGTGAGAGCTGCACTGAGCTCAGAGAAGAGCCTCTGCCCACCCCTGGGACCTGTGCCCACACAACACGCAGGTCAGCGACACCCCCAACCCCACCACGGACAATGAAGGGGGTCAGGCAGCGGCAAAGCGGTGTGAGGGACGGTGAGCTGTCTGCACTGGCCTGAGAACACATCAGCCTGGATGCTGTCAAACACTGGTGCGGGGTCACCGCCAGGCTTGTCACAGCTAGTGAGAGTCCCGATGCGGTTGCATAATAGGCTCCCCCAAACTCAGCTGCAAATGCAATAAGCATTTATGTCTCCTTCTCACGTTTCAGCCTCAGTTCTTTGTCTCTGGGCCAGGCCTGGCTTTTCCTGGCTCCGAGGAAATGAATCCTGAATCCAGAGTGAGGAACAAGTTGTTTCTTCTCTCCCCATTCAAGTCTCCACATCTGTAAAAGTGGGATAATAGTGTCACGTGAAAGCACGTGCTATCACTTTGATTCAAGTTAAACAAGAAAAAACACGTACATTGACATGTACACGCCTATGTAATACGGGCAGGGAGTGTGGGCAGAACTAATAGGAACTGCCAGCCCCGGGGGTCCTGAGAGTCCTGCGGGCCCCTTGGATATCTCGTTCGAGAATCATCCCCTGACAACTTCCATTTCCTTTTCTTTTAATATGAGAGAAAACTGTCAGAGTAGATTAGTCTGAGGAGTGAGAGCAAAAGGTAACGGTCACGTGGGCGGCTCCCAGAGGCGGTCCTCTCCAAGCTCCCCGCTTCCCAGGACAGGTCCTCAGGGCGCCCGCGGGTGTGCAGGAGATGGCGCTCCATCCGCCACTAAGGTAGACTGACTACACCTCCGCTCTGGACCTGGGGAACCAAGGCTCCCCGTTTAACCCACCATTATTGTAGGAACAAGTGATTTTAATTAAATGAAGCACACGACAGACGCCCTCGCCCATTCATGCCTCCGTCTCAAACATGTGACATTGAGATGATCCAAATTATAAAAAGGCTATTAAACTGCTCTCTGAGAATGAAATGGCAGGCTGGGCAAATGGCAATTCAATTAATAACAACGGAGATGGTCCCCAGTCTTGGCTCAGCTGAGAGTCCCGTGCTTCCCGACGGGGGAGGGTCAGGATTTACTGGCAAGTTGAGCAGGATGGAGACATGACAGGGAAGGTCCCCAAGCTCAAGGGCACTGCTCTGGGCTAAGTGAGGTGTGGGGTCCCTACTTTGCGTGGGCTAAGAGGCTGTGCTCAGGATGAGGAAGCAAATATCCCTGGATCCTGGCTAACCAGCTTTGTGACTCTTCTGTTACTTTCTCTGACCTCCACCAGCTCGGCCAGCTGCTGGTTTATGATACTGTAATTCCGTTTGTCGGAGGAGCTGATTCCGCCTCCCTGGCTGGTGGTCCAGATACAGACCTGGCAGCAGTGGCTGGAAGGGAGACGGCTGCCCACATGGCTCTCCCCTCCAGGGGCAGGCTGCTGGCGGGAGAGGCGGGGCCGAGACCCAGTGGACAGTCCCCATGTGATTGTGAATCGCTCCTGCATTCTTTGGGAGGAATTTCTAGATAAATTGTAGACCCACAAAACTGTAGACCCACAATTGTGACTTTGGCTTCGACTTAGTGAACAGCCATCTCGACCAATTGTCTCGAAGGCATCTGGGATCACCGTTTCCAGACACATCTCAGATAATGATGCTGAGGCAGAAGCGGCCACATGTCCCCAAGTGCCTGTAAATGGCCCGTTTGAACAACAGCTTCACAAACCCCAGACTGTTTTTATTGTCCTTGGTGACTGGGTCATTAAGAAGGGGCAGCGTCAGTTCTGGGGCATCACGTTTGTGATTTATAATAACTCAGAGGAGGCAGAGCTCCGCCCTCCACAGCTGCATTCACTCAGGGGAGAGTAGATGTGGGATGGGGCCGACTGGCTTACAGGGCTCCACGTTGTGACCCTGCAAAACCAAGATGGTAAATTACAGACATCAGCCAATTCACCTGCTGTGGCTACTGCAGGAGGCAGTGGACCGATGTAAGTTCCTTTGGCACATCATCAACAAGCTTGGAAGTGTGCTCTGGGGGCTCAGTAGATGATTTGTGGGAGTCCACAGAAGGGACAGCAGTTGCTAGATCTACCATCCCCTTCACACAATGTAAGAAACCCCATGTTAAGCTCCACACACAGCTACCCTGAATTTCCCATCCCGTCCTACAGCTGGAGTACCCGCCCCAGTGCACCCTCAAATGAGGGTATGTTCCCTCCTGCATGATGTGACCTGTGGGCCCCGGCCTGGGTGGACAACAGCAGTGTCCTAAGGTGACAGAGCAGTGAAAAAGAAGGTCAACCCACTCCAGGCCTCCCACCTGGGGAGGCTCCAGGCCTCCCACTTCTGCGGCTGGGATTCAATGTCACGGCCGCTAGGGAGCTTGCACACAGCGAGTGTGGGAGCGTGTCTGGGGTTACCAGGTGAGATTGCACAGTGATGTATATCAGGGAAAAACTTCAGCTTGTTCATTAAACTCCACTGAGACGGGATGAGGCTGACCCAGGCGGCGCCGGAGTGAATGGGTTTGTTGAAGTCAAGCGGAGCTGGTCTGGCTTGCAGGAAATATTAAATTAAGGTCATGGCACAGGCAGTTTCCTCAATGGCAAACTTGCCCTCAAGGATCCAAGCCCGGGAAAGGCCGTGCGGGTGGGACCCGAGTCCCGTTTCGTGGCTCGTGGACGCCTGTCCCTCGTCCCCCGCACCCACATGGGGAAGGCCACATCAGGGACCTCAGAGCACTAAAGCTCGTGGGGTCAGAGGTCAGATGCCCAGACTTCCTCTCGGGAAAACGCCAGCAAACAAACCAAGGAGCCAGGAAGCCTGAAGCCTCTGAAGCCGCCCTGCCCCTCCTGCCGCCCACGGGGACTCAGCGCGAGCCCCCACCCGGCCGGCGGCTCCTGCACCCCCTCTCTGCTGGAGGCTGAACCTGCCCCCACCCGCCCTTCCGTCCCGCCATCTCCAGAGACTGACTTCAGCGCCGCTTTGCTGGGCTGGGCCTGGCCTCCGGGGAGCTTTCTGAACCTGCTCCTAAGGCCCGTGGCCCTGAGCCTGCAACGAAGCCCCTGGCTCCTGCCCCCACCCCCCAGCTCGTCACAAAGGGCCCATTGTCCCCCAGCATCACACGCAGACCTGCACCGGCCCTCGGCTCCCCACCCCACTGGCCGTTTGGGTCAGAGGTCACCCCGGGCATCCGCTGCGTCTGGCGTGCCTGGGGCTTGGGGAGCCTCTGAATTCCTGGGGACACCAGTGGCCCACAGGTCCTGGCCCCTCAGAGCCGCAGGGGCAGGAAGGGGCAGGTGCCCCAGGTGGGGAGGGGAGAACCCCACCTCTAAGAACCAGGGTGTGAAATGGTCCTTTGTATTAAACCCCCACCTTCTCCCCAAGCTTTGGGGGACACGGGTCTTTACCCAGCCTGTCTAGCGCGTTCTGGGGAGCAAGGGAAGTTTCCGGGGAGGCGCTGACTTCGACCTTCGTTTTGGCTCAAGACTTGAAATTCTCCCACATTAGTCAGCTGTCCCGGGACCCCACATGGGCAAGCTGGGGGAGCTGGTTGGGGGGAGGACCTGGGCTCTGGGGGGGCCCTCAGGGAGCCCTCTGGGCACTGTAGCCCCTCCTGGGGCCTCTGCCTTTCCCTGAAGGGAGGGGTGAAAGCCCCTCCTAAAGTCCCCCACCCGGGAGCCCTGCCGGCTGGGGTCAGGTCACCACCTGAGGGTGGCACAGGACTGGAGGGGGCCCCCTCCTCGCTGCTCCTCCCCCACTCGCCCCTCCTCGGACATTCCGGGCTCCCCTTGTCTTAGAAGGAGCTCTGGGCGCCAGGAAACACCCGCCAAGAGCTGCCAGGCTGGGGAGACACGGGCCGTGGACAGCGGGGTGACCCCGGCCGGGAGGGCGCCGCGGCGGGGGGCGCTCATTCCGCGGCGCTGGACGGACCCGCGCAGCGTCCCCCGAGCCTGGACCCGCGAAGGGCCCCGGGGGCGCTGGGGAGCCACAGATGAGAAAATTAGGGGCTTCAGGAAAATAATAGCATCCTTGGTCAGCGTGTCCCTCGGCGGGAAAAACCGTCTCCCCACGACGGAGGCGCCCCTTCTCCGCTGCGGGCAGCGCCCAGGTGTCTCCAGGCTGCAGGGCCTCCGGCAGGGCGGCGCGGCCCGGGAGTGGGGGTTCAGGGGTGCAGGGAGAGCTTCCCCCGGCGTGCGAAAGCCCAGATGCGCGGACAGTCCAGGAGCCGTTGTCGGGGTGTCTGATCCTGAGACGCCCGAGGGGCAGTGGGGAACAGCGAGGCTGGAGAAGCGCTGACTCGGGGGGGAGGCGCCCCAGGAGCGCATGGAGGGCCCCGGGGGCGGCCACTGAGGGGCCTGTGTTTGCAGACATGGCCTCCCGCTACTGCGAGGAGGAACCGGGAGCAGGGGGGCCGGCGACAGTGAGGGAGACGCTCAGGAGCGCGAGGGCTGCTCTCCTTGCTGGCCCGGCCACATCACCTGCGGAGCCTGCACAGAATACAAATGTGCTCACAGGCAGGTGCACAGCGCCCTTGGTGCAGCGGAAACTGGAAGCCGTGTCTCGTCTTCTGCGCTCGCTCTCCTGCCCTGCTATGGTGTTGCCGTTTACTCCTGGGGCAGGGCAGCCCCTCGGAGGTCTGGTCCCCTGGAGAGGCAGAGTAGGAGTCCCTGGGTAGCGTTATTCCCGGAGCAAATTCTCCAGCACGGCCTTTTCAGCCGAGTTTATTGAAGAACCTGTGGGCATGACAGTTGTGCAGACTCTACTCAGAATTGTTCGTGAGGGTTGTGGGAAAGATTGGAGTGAAGCATCCCTAAAGGGAAGAGAGACACACCTGCAGAAGGCCCATCCGCAGCAGGACTCCGCCCCTGGCCTGGCCCTGCCCCTGGCCTAGGCTGGCACAGGTGTTTAGCTCTGCTAAATCACTCTGGACAGTTCTGGAAAGTCGCCAGAGAGTTTTTCAATCTCCTCTGTCTGCGCAGAAGTCACCCGACCAGGCCCCTGTTAAGTGCGCTTGCCACAATGCCTCCTGCCCCAGCACTGTGGCTGGGACAGGAGGCCTCATTCCCCGACTGCCAGAGGCCTGCTGAGACCTGTCTGGGGGAGCCTAGTCTGTGGGCCCCTCAGTGAAGGAAGCAGGCAAAGTTCTCTGTCTCTGAAATGACCCCCTGGTGGTCTGTCTCACAGAGACAGGGATAAGATCCGTGAGTAACAAGGAGATGGATGGCAGAAAGTGTGAGCTCCCCAAGGTACCCATCAACAGGAGGGGCTAACCCAGCAAGGGCCCACCCTCCCTGGCGAATGCTGTGTACACTGGGGATGTGCATGGAGGCCCTGGCCCCTCCATGAGAAAGAGGCAGTGCAGAGGGTAGGAATACTGTACACACAGAGAGACACATCCATATACACACCTGTACATGCATGTATTTTAAAACCCACAAAGCAGCACTGTGCCCTATGACCTATACACATGCAGGTGAATATCCTGATTGATCCAGGCCTCTGGAGTCCAACCGGGAGCCGGGAGCCCTCCCTGCCTGCACTCCCTAGGTTACAGCACCTCCCCCCTCAGGCCTCTGCACCTGCCATGCCCCTGCTGGGGCTGCTCTCTTTTAGGACCCTCTGCTTCTGCTCCAATGAGTTTATTTGCTCCTTTCCTGTCTCATCCAGTAGGATGCACGCTCCATGCAAGTGGGACTTGGCCCAGGGTGGTACTCAAGTGTTTGCTGAAAGAATGAATATTTACAGATTTTATCTGAGTAACCATAAAGACAGCCGCCTGCCGGGGTTTTCCTCACACCCGGCTGATATCAGTGGGTACGCATGGGCAAGTGGAAGCCTGGGAGTCAACAGAGACTCGGACTTGTCTCTAATGCTCTGATTTTCTTAGGGGAACTATACTTATGTACTGCTTGTGTAGTGAAAATTAATTTTAATTTAAAAGTCAATTTCATGCAATATTGATTTTACAATAAAGAAACAGAATTTTCAGTTTTCTTGATTGAGATATATGACACCAAGCACTCCTTCATCCTGAAAGAACCAATTTCACAGTAAACAAATGAATTTTGGTGCATTAATATTAATAACCGTAACAACCACGACATCTGCTCCTCTGGCTAACAGTTACACAGGGCCTTGCTGGCTCCAAAGCGCTTTGTCTCCCATGATCTCATTTGGTTATTAAGACAACATGACAAGGTTGAAAGGAGAAGGTTATGATTGTCATTATCATTGCTCTTGTTTTGTCAAAGAAAATAATCCAGTGCTATTCCCCATGGGCTCCTGCTGAGAGAATACAGGCAGCTACTTGTCACGTGACCCTTCACCTCGTGACCGTGATCTCCTAGCCCAGTAGCCTAGTGGCACCAGGAGTGGGCCGTGACTGCCCTAACCAGTAAGCTCATCCCACCCCCGCCCTTGATTGGTTCAAGGACATGCACCTGCCCAGGAGAGCAAAGGTAGATAAGGAGATGCTTGCCTAGGCTCCCTGGCTCTCCTGAGGTCCTCTGTGCGTGTGGATGCAGCTCACAGGATCCTGAGAGCTTCTTCCCGCCGTGAGAGAAGGTAATCTGAAATCAGGACTGATCCTGGAAAGAGGGAGGAACAAGAAAAGGTCAGGGGAACTGAGCCCCAGCCTGAACAAATCATCCCCAAAGCCTTTTACCTCCGGGATATGTCAGGACCTGAGCCCACCAGCCCCCTTGCTGCTGGAGGCTTCTTGCTTGAGTTGTCTGGTCCTCGCCACCACAGACCGCTGGTCTCCTGCATGGGGCCACACTACAGTAAGGGGCAGATCAGGAAACCCTGGCCTTCCCTTGTGGACTCTGCAATATGGCCCTTCTCGAAATCAGGTTCTTCAAATTGAAATCCTGGTCCTTTAATGCAGCCCCGGAATCAAGGTGAGGTCAGAGAGAAGTGAGTTGCTAGATTATAGGGGCACGGGTGCAGGGCTAGACTTGCACCACGGCCTGCTCAGGTTAACACCTGCAATAAGACAATTGGGGTCTCAGCTATCTATGCGAAGCTCATGTCTGGACACCCAAAATGATGTGGCCAACATGTGCAGCTGACGCCCGGCCAGGGGTGGCACCCCACTGCACGGACCTGGAAGCAGTCCCAGCCACAAAAGGAGAGTGACTCTAGGAGTTGGTCACCTGCCATTTTTTTCTCTAGTCATTGAGATGACATTACTTTTTTTTTTCCCTTGACATACATTACTTGAGTGCAGATCTGCTGTGATTTTCCAAGCACATGTAGCCACCAAAAGAAAAAAATATCTGACAAGTAGACATACATGGATTATTGGGAGACATTTTGTTCTGTTCTCCCTTGGGAATCCCTCTCATCGCTGTCATTGGCTTTAGTCACTCTTACCTTTTTACTCCTCCTGAGACAAGGACATGGATTCTCTCCAGGTTTCCTTAAGCAGGGGTGTGAGAAGCGGGTCCTGGATGGACTTCCCAGGCCTGGACATTGGGGTGCACTCGCCAGCAGCCGGGAAGCCGAGGATACCCTCAGGCTTGGCCATTCCTGTCACTTCCCACTGTCCAGGGGAGGGTTCTCTCTCTCCAGGTTTCTCCCACTTAAAAACC